TACGCACGATAGCATTCTCGTAAAGAAAGTTGGGCAATTGAGCGTAGGTACGTGTGATGCAACTGCCGCACGTACTTGTCCTTTTTATGTCACCACACGGCGATGTTTCTGTCACTGTAAAACCGGTAAGGACCGCGAATACTACAAGAGCTCATTACGCAATTATCTTTAATTAAGTTTCTTTTTTGTATTACAAACGCGTTTAGGCTCTAATAACTTTGTAATAAACCGGAAATAATAACTGTAGGTACGACTTGAACAAACATCGTTCCCTCCACCCCTTCGGCTACTTATTGCCCATGTATCCTGTTCCCTTCAGTTCTCAAGGTTTAGATTTCCGCAATTGTGTTAGAACAATTCGTATTGATGGAAAGACGCGAGCGCGTTCGATATTGTTGTAATAATACTAATTGGCTCCCAGCGTTTGTTGTTGTTGGTATTTTGTAAGTGAGGTCGCCGTTACCCATAAAAAGTAGACCAGGTGACCTTAAACCGCCGTTACTTGTATTGATTTCCATTGCCTGATTTTGGCATTGAAAGTATTTGTGTGTCACGTTTCCTTTCGTTTTCGATTTGGAGACGACGAAACGTCGTCGCGATTTAAATCTTTCGGGCCTTTGACCCGAGGGTCAGATCAAGAAAGTGCGATATGAGCGTCGGTCTATCGATCGTGCGAGGATTTCCAGGAAGGGGTCTTTGGATTCGGGCAGTTTTGCCTCTACGTCTAAGTTCTCCGGTTATAATCTTTCCTTTTCACAATTATTGCATCAGGATCACAGAGTCCGTTGCCAAACATACATTCGTATTGTATATTATGCTCTCCTAATACAAGTATGTGGTTTTGTCTCAGAATCACAGGAGCACACCCTTCTACTTACATGTTCCCCTGATATAAGCGTCTCCTGGGAACCAGGGCAGGCTTTATTTTATGAAAGTTTACATACTCTGTTCTCCTAATCGCTTATTTTACCGAAATCGCGGTATCAGAACTACAGTAAGTAAGAAGGTTCATTGGTATAAACCTCTTGGCGTATCGCATTTCCCTGATTCAATATCTTCCCCTTCAAAAATTCTTATCAGGATCACAGACACACAAGGAGTTATAAAACATATTGGCAAGTACTCGTATATCTTAATATCCATCTCCTGACGCAAACTTCAGCGGTATTAGGATTAGAGTAACCTAAAAAGTTGCATGATATAGACAAAAATTGTTATATCAGGATCACAGAGACGCAAGAGGGTATCTAAATCTATTATCCTACACGGTATGTCGAATTATGGCACTCGCTTCTCTTAAAAATGTTCTATCAGGATCACAGTAACAAGCAATAAAATCCATTGAAAACCCATAAATGCGCCTATGGAGATGCCATGGAAGAAAATTCATAAAAAATTTCAGCGGGATTAGAAGAAGATTCAAGGAAGATGCACAGCCACTTCCAGGGAGCGACGGGGAACATTCAAGAAAATTTCAAGTTCAAGATCGAAGGATGCTTCCAGGTTAAAATAGAAAAATTCAACGAGATTTGAAGAAGATGCATCGAAAACTCGCAAAAGAGTCTATGAAGATACAAGGAAGATTCATAGCTGAATTCAGAAAGCCAGGGGAACGATACGGGTAAATTCCAGGGTATGGGAATGATTCGAAGAAAATTTATCGGAAATTTTCAGAAGAATCCATCAAGATTCAGGGAAGATTCACAACTGAGCCCAGGAGGCTATAGGACAGATTAAAAAAATTCCTGGTCCAATTTCGCTCTCTGAAAACTTGTTGTATTAGGATCACAGTGTCGCAATGAGGTGTAACGTTTATGAATAGCTACACTGTCGCGTTCTAGTAGAAGAGCTCCCTAAGCAATTGTAGTAGGATTAGGAGAGCATACGAGGTTCCAGTTAATCTCGCACACTTTATGCTCTCGTAACACTCACTCACTGAATCTTTGAGATCAGTGTCTATGCGTTTTCGCGTATTACCCTTAATCAACTGTTTTTCAAAAACTGCATCAGGACCGCAGAGGCACAAGGAGGTGTCTAAATTTAATGTCTGTGTGCTTTCGTGTAGGTTCACTTACATACTTTGCTCTCCTGGTGCAAACTTCCCTTTGAAACACTGTTGTCAGGATCACAGAGGCCCAAGGGAGCGCAAAGTTTTCCAAATCTAAATTTCACCCCTAAAACTAAGATCACAGGAACACAGGAACGTGTCTCCTACAGGTACAAACTTCTCTTTCTTTTTATTATGATCACATGAATGCAAAGAGTTGCACAATTTACTGTTGGAGTTTCTTGCATATTATATTCTCCCTAATGGACTTGCTCCTTGAAAATTGTTCTTTCAACGAAACAAGGTGTCCTCCTGATACAAGCTTCTTCCTAAAAAAAGTGATCACAGAGACACAATGACGCGCAAAATTGATCGGGTAGCAGCTTCCCTTAGTGTAAATTTTTTTAAGATTTTTATTAGGATCACAGCAATACAAGAAGGTGTCTCTTACCTGTTGCAATTTATCCTTTAAAACTCACTGTATCGGGATTATAGGAGCGTTAGTGTGAAATATATCGACAAACACCATTTTATATAGAATACTGTCCTGATACGCTCTAGCTGAAAAGCAAGAGGATAAGTTTCTGTTCTCCTGGCAAAACCTATTTTAAATAAATGTCGCATTTGTGAGAAACATCAAGATTCGTTGCTTTGGGGCCAAAGAGCTGTGTGAAGCTGTCATGATGCAAGCTAAAAAAGGTTGTGGCAGGATCGCAGGTTCTCAAGAATGTGCAAAATTTACTGATGAGATGCTTCGCATATCTCACACTCCTGCCACAAATTTCTTTTCTAGAAGGGATTGTGATTATGCTAGTTTGATGCACTTTTATGTTGTCCAGATACAGCGTTATAGTAAAAGTATTGAATCAGGATCAGAGTCTGTTGCCAAACATACCTTCTGCTAATACAAACATTTGGTTTTCTCTCACGATCACAGGAGCACAAGAACGCATTTCACATGGTCTCCTTCCAAAGTTGTATCAGAATCACAGGTACCAGGGCAGGTGTTCTTTTTACCGAAATCGTTGTATCAGGATTACAGTGGTATAAGAAGGTGCAAGGTTCATTGGACGAAACTGCGTTTTTTTAAATTTTTATTAACAAACACTCACCAACTTCTCTTCAGAAATGGTGTCAAAAGGTGTACTGCAACCGGTATGTAATAGATTGTTGTATTAGGAGTAGAGGAAGTTAAAGAGCTTCATGATACAGGAAGAAAATGTCTTATAGGTATTCGTCTGACTCCTCTTTTAACACAGTAGTGGCAGGATCACAGGGATCCAAGGAAATGTATAATGTATGCCCTCTTTCCTATAACTTTTTCGCTTGATGTAATTTGTCATTAAAATTCTCCGTATCAGGATCACGGTGGCGATGGTGTAAAATATATTTTCCAAGATCTTTCACATATGATGCTATCCTAATACACGTTCGTTTCGAAAATTTGATATCTCAGGATGACATGTCACCAAAGAAGATGCTTAGGTGTTATCTTCTCCTGACGCCAAGGCGAAACTTCAGGGTTCAAGGTGAAGATCTTTATTAATATGTTCTCCTAATACAAATTAATTATTACAAGAACCAAAGAAACCCCTCATTATCTCTTTCTGGAGTAAATTATTAACAGGATGCCTGTAAAATGTTGAGTGCTTTCATGATGTTAGACAAATAGAGATGTATCAGGTTCGCAGAGTGCAAACTTTACTACCCTTGTCTTTTGCATATTTATGATTACATAAATGAAAATGTGATTGTCCTGTAAACTGTTGGCAATAAAACTCTGATCTTACTCTCCTGATACACATTTTTTATTCTAAAAACCGTTTGTGTTAGGATCACAGGAACGTACCAAGGTATCCATTATATTGGTTTACTGATCATGTTCTCTTGGTACGGTTATCATTTAATAATCTGTTGTATCGGGGTCGCAGGAACGCAAGAAGGTTTAGATCCGTTTTGGATTATGCTTGTCACAAACTTTCCTTTTAAAATTCGTCGCATAAATATCATAGAAGCAATTGGTCAGAGGCCCTTTTCCATATTGTACTTTCATTGTTTAAATAATTTTTCCTGGCACATTTATACTAGAAATTAGGATTCCAAGAAGACAAGAATGTGTAAAATTTTTAGCCTCCCTTTCACATATTTTGTCCTTTGATACACATTTGTTCTCTAAAAGCTGGCGAGTCAAAACTACAGGGATGCATGGAACTTACCTATTATGTGCTCCTGGCACAACTCTTTTAATAATCGCAAAAGAACATAAAGTATTTTCATCAGGGTCACAGAAAGTTTTTCATTAAAGGACTATACTACGCTAAGACGTACCTGCTAAGAAATTCTAAAACTCAAATGATGCAATATTCTTTTAAGTCAATTTTACCAGGAGAACATAACACCTTTTTGCTTATCAACTTTTCCTCGTATAATATAATGTAATATCGCATAATATACTAAAACATATCTGTTAATAAATTCAAAACCTTCGTGATCCTGGAACCTGGATGCAACAATCTTTTAAAAGAAAATGGTTCCGGGAGAACAGAATTTTTTTTAAGAACCATACGTACCTGCTAATAAATTATAATCTTGTTTGAGCCTGCGGCCCTGATGCAATGCCCTGAAGAAATTGTACCAGGGGAACTAAAATTCACTGTCGCTCATTTTCATTTCTACTCTCCTGATACAAATTTCATTTGGTACCAGAAAAACAATTTTTCCTCGTACAATATGCTACAACGTGCCTGCTAATGAATTCTGATCCTTCTTGAGCTCCTGCAATCCTGATACAACAATAAAAAATGTACCTTGGAATTACAACACGTTCTTACTTATGTTTCCCTCCTACAAGGGCCCAGAAGTTGTATAATGACACCGTTTCACATATCATTTTAGCCAAGATTACAACCATTTTAGTCAATACAACTACCTGTAATAGATATTTTTGTTTCAGGCCGTTGAACAAGACCGTCACCTTCTAAAGCGCAAACTCGCCTCACTGGAATCGGAATACGAGGCGCGAATTTTGGAACTTCAAAACGACATATCAGAACTAACATCGAAACTGTCCGCCAGAGAGAGTACAATAAAGCAGTGGGAGAGGGACAAGGGCAACCTCGTCTCCGAACTGAACGCTCAAAATCAAAGACTTACGACTCAGCTTAAGGAAGCGGTCACGTTAGAAACGCAGTTACAATTAGAGATAGGCCACCTTCGACAGGAGTGCGCGATGGGCAAGAGCAGCCTGCACGAGCACATCAACAGCGCGGACAGCTTGAGGGACGAGCTCGAGCTGGTGTCGGCGAAGAAGGGCGAGCTCGAGAGGCGGCTGATCATGGCGGCGAACGAGAGGGACAACCTCGCGACGGCTCTTGAGGAGGCCTCCGATAGGATTCTGCTCTTGGAGAGGCACGCGCGCGAGCAGGACATCAGGTACCAGCAGTCTCTGAAGGAGTACTCGCTACCGCAGGAGAGGCTGAGCATTGAGGAGAGGATCAGTGGTAAGTCTCGCGCATGTCGATTAACGCTGTGATTAATAAGCGCCCCCTGTGTTGTCTTTACTAACCGCATTAACATCTGTCTCTCTTGGTGGCACCAGGTGAACACCGATCTTTATTGGCAGAAATGGACGTGTGCGAACCCACGCTGTCTCAGGAGTGCATGTCGGTGTATCGGCAGCTGAGGGCGCTCTGTCAGCAACTGAAATCGCACAACGACGACGATTCCGGTCTGCACTCGGACTGCTCGACGACGAGCTTCGATGACAGTCAGCAGTTTTCCGCGGGGTTGCTCAATGAGGTTGCGCAGGAGCTGGTTGGGCTGGTTCTCGACACGGATGTGGTAAGGTTGTTGGATAGACTGGAACAGGCTCGGAGAGACATACAAGAGAGGGACATGGAGCTGTCCAGGCGCGGCGAAACCGTAATGGATCTCACAAGCAAAGTAAGTGTTCGCCATGCTCTGAAACCCTACAGTGAGCCTTCCAGGTTTCTGTCTGTGAGGTCGAGCTGCGGACGGCTCTAGAGGAACGGGACCGGGCGCGCCACGACGCGTCGAATTCATCGATGGCACAAGACGAGGCGGTCGTGAAAGCGCGCGAGGTGCGCGATCAGGCCGTCGCCCGCAGAAACAAGGCGGAGGTGGAGCTCGCGAAAACCAGAGTTGAACTGATGCAGGCCAACAGTCAGCTCTTGGAGGCCATCCAGCAGAAGGTCGAGCTCAGCCAGCAGTTGGAACAGTGGCAGGTCTGATTTCACTCCATCCTAATCCCCTCCATTCTATTTTGCTCTATGCGCAGATGGACATGCAAGAGTTGCTCGACGAGCAGTTGAAGAACAAGCTGACCAGTCACGAGGTGAAGATGCGCAACGACGCTCAACTATCCCCACCCGCTGCACCGCCCCGTCGAAGACTTCTACGGTTTTTCCAACGATAGTTTTTGTTTATAATAATAACAACATTCAAATGAGTATCTGTGATGTAAGTAATTTAAGATATATTTTGTATATCTTGTTAATATGTTTTATATAGTTGCTTATTAATTGCCTTCTTTAATGTTAATTACTTCAAGAGTTTAAAAGTTACCAGCAAGAACTAATACAGAAAAGGTGCAAGCAAATTTAATACCAATTTCAAAGTGTTTTTGGGAGTTCCTAACGCAACAATAGAAAAATGTATTTAACTTAAATACCCTTTTCTAGTCTTTATTTTTTAATTATTTATGTGCAACTTGGCAATAATTCCGCCTGAGGGAATTTCACTAACGATTTATCTAGTTTTAGTTCAACGATAGCCTTAGTCGTAAGTTTAGCTGTGAAATTTGAATTGTACAAGAACTAATTTATACCTGTTGCAACTTTCCGTCCAAATAAACATATTTTATATTAATTATTTACTCTGCGACAATGTTAATTTTTCCAGTTATTATGTTTATCTTTACCTATACGTTTAGTTTTATTTTGGGTGGCCCGGGTTCGATTCCCTGTCGATGCAAAATGATTTAAAATTTTATATTTTATTTAGCATTTTTACATATGCCAAGACTGATGATGGCTGATGTAATAAAACACTTCCCGAAATTCCCACGGGAACGGGGAAAAACAGGATTTTACTTTTTACGAGTCAAAACTGCGGCAGATAGAGACTTGAGATTTAGAACGTAAGTTTCTTTGGAGACACATCTTGAAATTATATGTTTCTCTCTCTCTCGGCTCTCGCTTTCTCTTCTGGTAACTTGCATTTTCGCCGTGGCCAGACAGAAACCGGGTCGCATGGTAACTAATTCCCCGTGCTCTCTATTTGTTCACCCTCTAAATCCCTTATCAATGTCCTTGGTCCAGGATTCCCGCTTCTCCCATCTCTCCTGCCATGCGCCCATGAGTCCGTCGACATCCCAGCTCCCAGGCCTATATCTGCATCAGTGGTATTACCTGCCTCGACTGTCTTTTACTTTGTATTGTAATTACACCCGGGGACAACCCCTCACATCTTCGACATGTAGCATCCAGCTTACAATCCCGCGCGTAGTGCCCGGAGTTTTCGCAGTTGTAACACTGGGCGCTGAGGTCGTTCCCCTTATATTGGGCCGTGACGTGTCCTAGCTCCCAGCATTTATTGCAGCGTATCTGGTCCACGTTAATTTTCACCCTCGCTGTCTGACTACTACCTCGGCTGTCTCTCAGTTAAGGTGAACAAATGCACCTGGCTTTGGATACTCTAGTACCTCTTCCCAGGTGGTTATCGCGCCCAGGTCTCAACTGGGAGGGTGCAGTTGTCTAAAAGCGCCACCTCTCGATCGCTAATGTCAGCCCTCATCTTGTTGAGTAATGGCTCGGATTTTCCCACCCCCTTTTTTACTCGGAGGAGGATGTCGCCGTTCCTCGCCTTCGTTACACTCTCAATCTTAGTCGTCACTTTCCGAGAGGTCCATTTGTCCCATTTTCCTCACTATCTCTTCCATGTGATTGCCGCCTTTCGCACCTAACCTAACTAGCCCTCTAACCTAACCACACTCATACTTTAACCTAACCTTCAATTACTTTTTCGCAGAGTTAGGTTAGATGAGAAATCTTGTATCGGAAGAATATAATGTGCGAGGAGATGATTGAAGGTTAGGTTAGAGTGCAAGTTAGGTTAGGTGAGAAATCATGTATCAGGAGAATATATGTGCGAGGAGGGGATTGAAGTTTATTCTAAAGTATTAGTATTAGCACAGATTTAAAATATCTGTGGTATTAGTGAGGTTAGGTTGGTGTGGTAGTGTAAGAGGAGAGAGAAGTATAAGACACGATAAAATAAAATTGTCTCCCTTCTCTGCGATCTTGATACTACAATATTTGAAGAAGTTGTGCATCCGGACCTATTATAATTCCGGAGTATCAAATAATTCATCGTGTACATACATTATAAAGGACGTCAGTAAAATTCTTTGCGTTTCTGTAATCCGGAGAGAGCCTATTTAACCCCCCTGCCCCGCTGCCCTGCGATACAACAATCTTAATAAGAAAAATTTATATCAGGAGAGTATAATAAAAGAAAAGACCAAAGATTGCGCATCCACGATTCTGATACTACGTGGCGTAAAATAGAAATTTGGATTTCGGGGACTGTAAATTGTACATTCTGCGATCCTAGTACTACAGTTCCTGAAAATGAGAAGTTTGGAATGAGGAGAAATTAATTCGTGAGTGCATATCAATCAATGTTTTACATCTTGCCCCCATGATCCTGATAAAAGGCGAAAAAGAAAAAGAAAGAAGTTGTTACAGACAATAATTCCTTAACGAGAAATGGGCATCGAGAAATCTTCCTTTAGTCTCCTGATACCCTAGAGATGTTGTGTCAGGGACATTTAAGTGGTTTGTTTCTTTACCTAATTTGTTCAAAGTGAGTTACTACCAGGAGAAAGTCTGAGTCACTTTTATTTCTGCCTACAAGCCCTGAAATGGCTTATATGAGGATAGCAGAATGGTAATGTCTCTATTTACAGATCTACAGCTCTGTCAACCAACAAATCATTCCTAGAGATGGTTTGTATTAGGAAAGCAGAATGAAAAGATGGTAATTAGAAAGGTGCTTTTGATTAATCAATGTAGAACTTTTTACAACCTTGCTCTCCTGATACTGAAACCATACCCACGTACCATACGTAATGCAAGGAATATTTAGTGATAAGGGAATACAGATATATGGCATCGTATCGAATTCGAAGGTGCTTCCCATTCCTGAAGTTTATGTGGCCTTGATACAACGCAGAGAAATATAATACACGATAAAATAAATTGTACATTCTAGAAGGAGAATCTTGTCAGGAGAACATAATACGTGAAAATGACACTTTAATGGTTCTTGGTTGTTGGACCTCTGTTGCCTGGGTGTCTCAATTAATTTTGAGCTTCCTTCCATGTGCCTATATACTCTTCCTAAGCAATTTTTAATAGGGCAACTAATGCTAGTAGGAGAACATAATACAACAAACGTCGCACATTATTTCCGTTGTTGACTGCCACAACATGGGTTAGGTGAGAAATCTTGTATCGGGAGAATATAATGTGCGAGGAGATGATAGGTTAAACTGTTAGTGAGGTTAGGTTGGATTGCTAGTTAGGTTAGGTCCTTCAATCACCTCCTCGCACCTTATATTCTCCTGATACAAGATTTCTCACCTAACTTAACTGGTATTCTAACCTAACCTGACCAATACTTTATACTAACCTTCAATCTCCTCCCACATTATATTCTCCTGATACAATTTTTCTCACCTAACCTAACTAGCACTCTAACCTACCCACACTAATTTGTTAACTTAACCTTTAAGCACCTCCTCGCACATGATATTCTCCTGATACAAGATTTCTGATCTAACCTAACTGTGTGAAGTGATTAAAGGTTATGTTAAATTATGAGTGAGGTTAGGTTAGAGTACTAGTGAGGTTAGTTAGTGAGGTGTCAGGAGAATATAATTTGCGAGAAAGTGATTGAAGGTTATGTTAAAGTATTAGTGAGGTTGTTAATACCTATTTGCGCCTCCGCCGCCAGTAATCGCCTCCTCCGTCTCCATTTTCCGGATATCCCACAGTTCGTTAATCGAAACGAAAACCGTATCTGCTCCACCTCGCTCTGCTCGCTCCTACGTTTTTGTCTCTTGGTATTTAGAGACCAGTCCGTGCCACTGTCGCTTCCGCTCTCCATTTCGGCTCTTTTCCGACAACACTCAGCAGGTGTCTTCGGAATAATTTCGTTCTCCGTGGTTTTTTACACCTCCGACTCCGTCGGCCGTGTTGGTGCATCAAGTCTTCTGGGTTGAGTCTTCATCATCTTTGTTTCCCCCACAGGTACGAAGAAAGAAGCGTCCTCTCCCTCCCTCATTCCCGTCGCGAAGTCTCGCGATACTAGGTTTAGAAGCCCCAACGGGCTTAAGCGCCCTCCCCGAGCCTTTCGCTATTTATAAAAAGTCTCTGAAGTCACTCTACCATACAGGGTGTTTATTAAACATGCGGCAAAAATTTAAGGGGCTATTCCTTGGACTATTCTAAGGATATTTTGTTCTTCGATGATTTTTGATACTGTTTTGGTACTGTATGTGGTACTTTCCCCACGGAATAAACGGTTAGTCACACATACAGGGCAACATTCCATATACTAACATGATTCAGTAAAGCAGCAGGCCATGCTGCAGTAAACAAATATCCAACCCTCACAAATTAAAGAATGAATTTAAAGGCTTGTCAATAAACGGTTCTTAAATTTCTCTGAAGGTTTTTAGACCGCCAAACCTTGACAGCTCTCAAAGGCTTACAAATTCAAGGCTCAAATCGTTAGGAGAGCTAAATGCAAGGCTATTGTCGACTATTGAAACTCTTGCACACCTTTTGAAATATTCTTAAAGGTCTTAAAACCTTTTAGATACCCTACCTAGGACTCATAAAATCTGTACAGAAGTGAAAAAGTTAATTTGGAGGCTCTCGTATTAATACCTCTAGAGGCTCATGGAAGCTGATAAGCGATATTAAAGAATTTTAAAATCTCTAAAAGGCGTTAGAAGGGTCTTTACAAAAGCCTCTTAGGGTTTCTAAATGCCAATAATGGGACGCGATGACATGAACATTTAAAGACCAAGAATCCTTACAGGACTCTGCGAAAGTTCTTTGACGACCTTTTAAACAGTCTCATTGTGGCTTTAAAAATCTATTGAAGTTCGTTAAAAGCTCTTAATACCTCCTCAAGGCCCTATACATCATAAAAACCTTGATGAAGTCTGAGAGGTTTTCCTTCAATGCTTTTCAAGATCTTAAAATGCAATTAAATACCCTTAGAAGGATCTATTAATACTCTCTCAAAAAGAAGGCGTCGAAAAGTAGTAAAGACTTTAAGGGCTTAAAACGTAGTTTACAAGTTTTTGGGAGACTCTAAAAGTTCACAAATTCAAAGGTAACACCAACATATGTTGGAAAGTAAGTAAATTCGAAAACGAGGAGCATTTGTTGGCAGAGTCTCCTCCCTGGGGACTTGTAACCTGCCCCTCGTGTGTGGTATCCAAACCTACAGTTGAGATTCGAGATCAACCACAACCTCAGTTGTAACTACTTTGGTTGCAGTATTTCCCATTCTCGTGATTGTCTCTTCACGGCGAAAAGTGTTAGTTTACATACAACAGGTCCATACACGCATCGAAAAATCTGCAGATGATGCCCAAATCCACTCTTATTATGCGGCACGTTTTTGACTGTTTTATTGAGACAGTCAACAGGACTGCTTTTGTAAGTAATAATAAATTGTCTCCTTTTGACAGTAGACAAACTCCTGTTTTTACGAAATCAGCGCACATATTTGAAGTGCACAGCCTTGGGTAACTTGTTTTTGTGATAAAGTCGACGATGGTGGCACGTTTTTTCCTCTGCGCTTTGATTTATGCAATATTGGGTAAGTGCGTCACTTTGCAAGTTAATGGAAACGCAACGGGGTAATTTCAGCGCCGACGCTCGGCGCCAAATTGTCGATGGGAAGGATTCTTGGAGGATCGGTGACCGCTGATGGAACGCATCCGTATGCGGTCGCGTTGAGGTTGTACCACACTTTCTACTGCACCGGAACCATAATTAACAAGGACTGCGTTTTGACAACCGCTAATTGCGTGGCGAGGTGAGGTGTCTGAGGCTAGCGTCGGTATTCACTCAGTTTGTATTGCAGCGTGTCCTACAAGAACGTGGAGATTTTGGCAGGGACCAACAACTACAACTCGGGTGGGGTTAGTTATAGAGCCGAAGACGGAATTCCGCACGATCTCTACGATCCCAATACGAGATCTGCGAATGTAGGGCTATTGAAAATAAAGGGCGACATCAAATTCGACACCAAAACGAAACCGATCGCCCTAGCCGTTAAAGATCCCGGGGCGGACTTGGCCGTCACTTTCGTGGTTTGGGTTAAAAGCGACAACCTGGCCGACGTCCCTGCGTCAAACAGGTTGAGGTCCGTCAGTTTGCAAACGATGTCAACCTACAACTGCATTGCGACGTTAGCCGGGGACCACAAAATTGAGGACAAATTCTGCACCACCAACAAGGGATTGTGCGGTGAAGGAGGGCCGCTAATTTTCAACAAGACACTGGCCGGAATATCATCCCCGATAGGGGGGTGCATAAGTGGCAAACCCGAAATATTTCAAAGCCTTTCCAATTTCATTGATTGGATAAATGGACACGCTTGCTAAATCTTCTACCCGCCCCTATCTTGCTGTTGTCCCTTAAAACAATAAAGTTTAAGTATAAGGTCTCGATGATTCGTTTACTTTTTAGCAAACAGTGCTAGTGTGTAACGGGAGCCCGCTCTAGAACGTTTAAATTTTAAACCACAACTTTTAATCCGGCTCATATTCAATAACATTGATCCTTGAACTTGTAGAAATCGATTGGCGAAGGATCGACATCACTGTCTCCCTTCGTTCTCGAGTTAGACGAGGACCAGGCAGACACACGGACGGAGTGACAAAACTATCACATGTTTTGCTGAATGCCGTTATTTGAATCAAGTTTGTTTTTATACTGTGAAGATGGTTATGCCTTTATATGGTTTTATTAAGTATTTTGTATTTAATCAAGTAGAGGTATGTTATTAGTATACTGTTGCCCTGTACGATTAACCGTTTATTCAGTGGAGGAGGTGCCTTATACACTACCGATTCCTCGCTCTATCGTGTTGATTCCTCATCTCGCGCGGACTGCAGATCTTGTGTCTTAGCATTACGAGAAAGGGTGGCCCCTAATCAATTTTTTATTTATTTATTTATTGGCGCTCAACAGACTTGCGCCCAATTACAGAGTGACCAGCATAATGCTTTTTAGAGGTGTCCCTGCAGAAGGTTTTCAGTTGTTCTATACTACTCCGGTAGGTATTTAACACCTGACCTACGGTTTTCTATCCCAACGCTCTACCACTGATCTACAAAGCCTGTTTTCGTTTTAGTATGGGCGGTTATTACAAGGGTCATTACAAGGGGACGCAAAAATGTGGAGGAGGTGCAAAGAATGCATCTTGACTAGTTGTCTTTACACACTTCACATCTCTGTAATTTTGATACAGCAATTTTTAGAGAAGGAAACACAAGGGAACAGGGTAACAATACCGTTCAACAACTTTAAGGCGGCCTATTTGCAACAGGATAACATAGCACCGACGCTTTTGGTAGTCTCCGATCGCCTCCAAAGGCTTTCAAGGTTCTCCAATGATTCCAAGGGCAGGCAAAATTCTCGCCGTTCTTGAAATTCTTCGAGTTCTTTAATATCGGAGCTTTAAGACATACTGTGAGTGTTTGAGTGCTGAAATAGTCTTTAATTCTCTGTTTTAAAAACATTTAAGAGCCTCTGAAGACCGTTCTCGAGATATTACGGTTTGTCAGAATTTTTGGTCGAAATTTCAAACCGTAATATCTCGAGAACGGTGCGTCGTAGATGTGCCTTCCGACCCCTCGTTGGAAAGGTCTCGACCAGCGCTATCGGTTGGCGCGGTCAGAATTTCGCCAAAAATTCAAAGGGCTGTAACTTTTGATCTAGTAGCCCGATCTTGGAACTGTTTGAAATTATGGATTCTACAGGGCACATTCTATAAGAAAATATTTTTTTCCGGTCGATCTGAGACAATTTTTTTTTCGGGCCAAAAAAAGAGGCAGTGTTATACCTTCCTTTTTTTACCAAAAATCGACTGCAATTTTGACGGCGCCAATCGATAGCGCTGGTCGAGACCTTTCCAACGAGGGGTCGGAAGGCATATCTACGACGCACCGTTCTCGAGATATTACGGGTTGTCAGAATTTTTGGTCGAAATTTCAAACCGTCATCATTCCTTATCGTCGGTTTCTGAGAACCCCCTTCACTCCCGGAAACGGCTTTTTCGGGCGAGAAATCCCTCAAACCAAGGCACGACCTTGCACCATTTACCATGGCGACGGATCACACGGGAAGAGGCACCCCAAAATCAATTCAAACTTTTCAGTTTCAGTTCGGTTTCAGTTCGGTTTCGGTTTAGTTTCGGTTCGGTTTCAGTTCGGTTTCAGTTCAGTTTCAGTTTCAGATTCATTCTCTTTATACCAACACCTTCGCTTCGTTCAAACTGGATCAGAAGAGTAGTATTAAATAAAGATTCTACGTATGATGGGGAGTTTTCCATATCCCCTCCCCCCCCCAAACATGCGAACGTTTTCCAAAAAAAAGCACTAAAACTCGCCAGCAAAGGAAGAGTCGATGATTCTTTTCTTAACATACTCAAAAGGAGTCTTCGAGAGAAGGTAATGCAATCTGCGTATGATTGGGGGTATTCTATACACCCCAAACCCCCCGGTGCTATGTTTCTCCCAAAAACTATCACGAGAGTTTTAAGGGTTAAACGATTTGCGAGATAATCTGGCACTGGGGGGTATATGGAATACCCCCCAAAACATACGAAGATTCGATTACAAGTTTTACGAAGACTAGCAGTAAAACTCGCCAGCTCTTTTCACTCTTTTTCTATTGCTCTTAGCACCCTCAAAGTCATTCTCCAGACCCTCGGTGCTACATTTTCCACTAAAAATCATCACGAGGGTTGTAAGGACTAAACGAGTTGTGAGATAATGTGGCACTGGGGGGTTTGAGGGGTGGCCCCCAGGATACGAAGATTCGATTACCTTTTTTCCGAAGACTAGCAGTAAAACTCCCCACAGCAAAAGAGGATTCGGTAATTCTTTTCATATTGCTCTTAGAATCTACGTACGATGAGTGAAGGGGGTATTCAATACTTCCAGACCCCGATATAACGTGCATCTGCCGGAAATCTAGCTATCAGGATAACATAATCCTTCCATCCATCAAACTAAAAACAAATTTATACTTTCCGACACCTAATTTTTATGATTCACCATTTGGTATCATGGGAATAGGTCTTGTTCTGGAGATGAGAGTGTATTAGGAGAGCAGAATTGAACTGTTAGTTGATCTTGCTGTTCTACTCTATCCTGGTTTTTAGTAACGATAGGATCATATGGGACATGAGTACTTAGTTGTCAATTTTGGGGCATTTTAAACACTAGAAGTTCTAAAGGGTGTGCCCTTGGAAACTCCTAAAATGCTTTAAACTCCCAAAAGCACTCAAAGGTTCACAAAGACCCTTAGATGTTCGGCACTGAAAGGTGTAGAATTACAGGGACACAATTTCAAGAATATTCCTCTTATTATACGCTCGTATAACCCTTTAAAGAACCAAAAAAACAACCCTCCTAAATATTCTTAAACTGCATTAAGGATCTTTGAAGATTTTTAATGATTGTCAGTCATTTTGAAATGCTCTTAAGGCCTGTACAAGGTTTTTCTGGACCCTTAGCAGCAGATTTTAAGGGGATTTAAGTGAGTACCAACTTGCAAAACTGAATTTTAGGATATGGTTGCCGATCAGCATTTTAAGACTTCAGGGACCCAGAGGCCAGGAGCCTTTTTGAACTTTTCCAAAGGAAATTTGGAAATTTTAACAACGGCATCTTACGTGGATAATGTCAAAATATCAAAATTTGGTCAAACTTCAGATTACAAGATGAGTCGAGTTTCGTAGTTCCCGAATGGTTCCCTATTAATTTCAGAAAATAAGATTTACTCTTGAATCCCTCGTTTCGGAATGGCGATTTCCATTTAGAAATGGTAATAAAGTCGTAACATGATTCTTGAAACACCAAATTGGTATCTTCCACAGAAAAATTATGAATTTCGGACCATGTAAAAGTCAAGGTATAACGTGGGCGATTTTACGAATCCGCCCCCTCCCCCTGAGGTCAGCGCGTTTACATAACGGCCACAATTGGAAACTGGACGCCCGCTACGTCATTATCGGCACACGGACACCATAAAAATATTAACAACAAAATTCCGGTTTACAACAAACCAATGAGGACGACCATGGGGGTTACGCCTACACTCCCTCGCTTTATTCGGAATCGAAAACAGTGCGTTATTTACGACGGTAGCTATGATAATTTAACAACCTTCAAATTGGCTCTTTATAATAGTCTCGCCTTCATTAAAGCAATTAGTAACAGCGCGTCTTTTGGTTCGTCAAAGTTACTACAAAAAATTGTCGGAGTAAGTACAGTCTCTTTGTTTAACAGTAATTGATGATGCGAAGGTGACCCAGTTTACCTTTTTCGGTATTGCATTGCGTGATTCGCATTTCAAGATCTTCTAGATCTTCTCCACAATTTTTGAAGGCAAATTGAGTTTGATGCATTACTACTTTTTCAAAAAAATCAAAAATTCAAAAAAGGAGAGTGTTTCACTTTACCATTTTGCGGTTTTCGATTGCGTGAATCGCATTTCTTAGTTTGGAAGATCTTCTAGCCACGTTGCATTTCTTCGCCAGTATTTTTGAAGACAATGTGAGTTACACTACTACTTTCTCCAAAGATTAAAGAGATGAGCGTTTTCAGGCAAGGGAAAGGGTCTCAGTTTAGCATTTTCGGTATTGCGTTGCGTGATTCGCATTTTCTGGGCATTTCTTCTCCACTATTTTTGGAGGCAATTTGAGTTTGTTACATAACTACTTTTCAAAAAAATCAAAAATTACGCGTTTTCAAAAAAGGAGAGTGCCTCAGTTAACCATTGTCGGTTTTTCATTGCGTGAATGGCATTTCTTGGTTAAGAAGATCATCTATGCACTTTGCATTTCTTCATCACTGTTGTTGAGGATAACTTGACTTAGCTAAATTACTTTTTTTTAATTAGGAACAGGTGTATCAGTTTACCATTTTTAGCAGGTGCTGTACGTACCTTTCATTTCTTCTACACAGCTTTTGAGGACAATTTGAGTTAATAAGTTCCTAATTTTCCCAAAAAAATAAAAAAAATAGAGCACATACAAACTAGGGTTTCATCATTTCATGTCTCATGTCGCGTGTTTTGCAATTTCTGGGTTCAGTTCCTGATTTCCCTTTAACATCAAAAAATTTAGCACACAAAAACTAGGAGAAGTGTATCTCAGTTTACTATTTTGTGTCTCACGTCGCTTGAGTCGAAATTTCTCACTCAGGAGATGCCCTAAGCATCTTGCACTTCTTTGCCATCGTTTTTTGAATCAGCATAGACCTATACATACTTTCTTTTTCTTTTTCTAGGAACTAATTGTTCGGAATGATACGTTGGTTGCAGGCATTCTCAACGTGTTTTTCTTTTTAAATTTAAAATCTTTTCAAAATACCTTCAAAATCTGTTCAAAGGCTCTTCAAAATTTCTTCAAAATCTCTCCACAATCTCTTCAAATTGTCATCAAGATCTTTCCAAAATCTCTTAAAAATCTGTCCACAATCTCTTGAATATTTCTATATAGTCCCCTCAAAATTTTTTCAAAATCTCTTCAAAATTTTTCAGAATCCCTCCAAAATCTATACAAAATCTCTTCAGAATCTTTTTAGAATCTCTTCAAAATTTCTTCAGAATCTCTTCAGAATCGCTTCAGAAACTCTTCAGAATCTCTTCAGAATTTCTTCAAAATCTCTTCAGGAATCTTTTCATGAATCTCCTCAAAGTCTCTTCAAAATCTTTTCGGAATATTTTTAGAATCTTTTCAGATCTACTGAATCTCTTCAAAGTCTCTTCAAAATGTTTTCAAATCACATACATATCACGTCAAAATCCCTTCAAAATCTCTTCAGGGCTTCTTCAAAATCTCTTCACAATTTCATCAAAGTCTCTTCTAAAATCTCTCGAAACTCCCTTCAAAGTCTCTTTAAAATCTCTTCACAATCTCTTGAAATTGTCATTAAGATCTACCGAAAATCTCTTCAAAATTTATTTCAAATTATTTCAAAATCTTATACAAATCTCTTCATAATCCCTTGAAAATCTCTTAAAAATCTTTTCAGGATCTCTTCAAATTATCTTCAGGGCTTCTTCAAGATCTCTTCAAAATTTCTTATAAATCCCAAAATTTCTGGAAAATCTGCTTAGAATCTCACAGGTTTTTAAAAACTCTGGAAGAATCCCTATTAAAGTAAATAAAAGTTTGTAGATACTCTTGGAGATACTTCAACACCTCATAGATACAAAAACTTTTCATAATCATCATAATAAGTATGTATAGGTCTATGCTGATTCAAAAAACGATGGCAAAGAAGAAAAGCAAAAAGTTTCTTCCAAATCTCTTAAAAATTTCTTCAAAATTTCTTCAAAATCTCTTCAAAATCTCTTAAAAATCTCTTCAAAATCTCTTCACAATCTCTTAAAAATCTCTTCAAAATCTTTTCAAAATATAGGTACCACAAATCCATGCATTATCGCTACAAAATCTTTTCAAAATCTCTTCAGAATATCTTCAAATCTCTTCAGGGCTTCTTCAGAATCTCTTGAGTCTTCAAAATCTCCGACAAAATCTCTTTTAAATCTCTTCAAAATTTCTTCAAAATCTCTTAAAAGCCCTTCAAAATCTCCTTAAAATCTCTTCAGAATCTCTTCACAATCTTTTCAAAATCTCTTCAAAGTTTCTTCCAAATCTCTTAAAAATTTCTTCAAAATCTCTTCAAAATCGCTTCAAAATGTCCTCAAAATCTCTTCAAAATATCATACAATCTATGCATAATCGCTACAAAGTCTCTTCAATCTCTTCAGGATTTCTTCCGAACCTCTTTAGTCTTTTTAAGGTCTCCTCCAAAACCTCTTTCAAAGTCTCCTCCAAAACCTCTTTCAAAGTCTCCTCCAAAACCTCTTTCAAAGTATCCTCCAAAACCTCTTTCAAAATCTTTTCCAAATCACTTCACCGTCTCTTCAAATTTTTTTCAGGATCTCTCCAAACTCTTCATAATCGTTTCAAAATTTCTTCAAAACCTCTTCAAAGTGTCTTCCAAATCTCTTAAAAATTTCTTCAAAATCTCTTCAAAATCGCTTCAAAATCTCCTCAAAATCTCTTCAAAATATCATACAATCTATGCATAATCGCTACAAAGTCTCTTCAAATCTCTTCAGGATTTCTTCCGAACCTCTTTAGTCTCTTTAAGGTCTCCTTCAAAACCTCTTTCAAAGTCTCCTCCAAAACCTCTTTCAAAGTATCCTCCAAAACCTCTTTCAAAGTCTCCTCCAAAACCTCTTTCAAAGTCTCCTCCAAAACCTCTTTCAAAGTCTCCTCCAAAACCTCTTTCAAAGTCTCCTCCAAATCCTCTTTCAAAGTCTCCTCCAAAACCTCTTTCAAAATCTTTTCCAAATCACTTCACCGTCTCTTCAAATTTTTTTCAGGATCTCTCCAAACTCTCTTCATAATCGTTTCAAAATCTCTTCATAATCTCTTCAAAATTTCTTCAAAATCTTCACCAAATCTCTTCAGAATATCTTCAAATCTCTTCAGGGCTTCTTCAGAATCCCTTTAGTCTTTTCAGAATCTCCTACAAAATCCCTTCAAAATCTCTTCAAAATCTCTTCAAAATCTCTTCAAAATCTCTTCACAATCTCTTAAAAATCTCTTCAAAATCTCTTCAAAATCTTTTCAAAATATAGGTACCACAAATCCATGCATTATCGCTACAAAATCTTTTCAAAATCTCTTCAGAATATCTTCAAATCTTTTCAGGGCTTCTTCAGAATCTCTTGAGTCTTCAAAATCTCCGACAAAATCTCTTTTAAACCTCTTCAAAATCTCTTAAAAAGCCCTTCAAAATCTCCTTAAAATCTCTTAAGAATCTCTTCACAATCTTTTCAAAATCTCTTCAAAGTTTCTTCCAAATCTCTTAAAAATTTCTTCAAAATCTCTTCAAAATCGCTTCAAAATCTCCTCAAAATCTCTTCAAAATATCATACAATCTATGCATAATCGCTACAAAGTCTCTTCAAATCTCTTCAGGATTTCTTCCGAACCTCTTTAGTCTCTTTAAGGTCTCCTCCAAAACCTCTTTCAAAGTCTTCTCCAAAACCTCTTTCAAAGTCTCCTCCAAAACCTCTTTCAAAGTCTCTTCCAAAACCTCTTTCAAAGTCTCCTCCAAAACCTCTTTCAAAATCTTTTCCAAATCACTTCACCGTCTCTTCAAATTTTTTTCAGGATCTCTCCAAACTCTTCATAATCGTTTCAAAATTTCTTCAAAACCTCTTCAAAGTGTCTTCCAAATCTCTTAAAAATTTCTTCAAAATCTCTTCAAAATCGCTTCAAAATCTCCTCAAAATCTCTTCAAAATATCATACAATCTATGCATAATCGCTACAAAGTCTCTTCAAATCTCTTCAGGATTTCTTCCGAACCTCTTTAGTCTCTTTAAGGTCTCCTCCAAAACCTCTTTCAAAGTCTTCTCCAAAACCTCTTTCAAAGTCTCCTCCAAAACCTCTTTCAAAGTCTCTTCCAAAACCTCTTTCAAAGTCTCCTCCAAAACCTCTTTCAAAATCTTTTCCAAATCACTTCACCGTCTCTTCAAATTTTTTTCAGGATCTCTCCAAACTCTCTTCATAATCGTTTCAAAATCTCTTCAGAATATCTTCAAATCTCTTCAGGGCTTCTTCAGAATCCCTTTAGTCTTTTCAGAATCTCCTACAAAATCCCTTCAAAATCTCTTCAAAATCTCTTCAAAATCCCGTCAGAATCTCTTCAAAATCTTTTCAAAACATCATAGAAATCTATGCATAATCGCCACAAAGTCTCTTCAAATCTCTTCAGGATTTCTTCCGAACCTCTTTAGTCTCTTTAAGGTTTCCTCCAAAACCTCTTTCAAAGTCTCCTCCAAAACCTCTTTCAAAGTCTCCTCCAAAACCTCTTTCAAAGTCTCCTCCAAAACCTCTTTCAAAGTCTCCTCCAAAACCTCTTTCAAAATCTTTTCCAAATCACTTCACCATCTCTTCAAATTTTTTCAGGATCTCTCCAAACTCTCTTCATAATCGTTTCAAACTTTCATAAAAATTTTTAGATGTTCTCTTCAAATCTCTTCAGAAGAATTCATTCAAAAATGCGCGCTTGGCATCTTGCATGCATATTCCGAAAACGCGACAATTGATGATATGCCTAAGAATAAAGGGCGACAGGCAGACCGACAGAGAGCGTATTTGAATGTAATATTTTGCAGATGAATTTTGGGTTACCATTCCTCTTCTTCGTACTACTCCTCCAACTGGCACGGGCGGCCGAAGATCCAGCCGAAGAAATTCCCGCCAAAATCGAAGAAATTTTCCGTTTGCCTCGATGGGCGGATTACTATAATCCAGGTCGCACCTACTACTCGAATCCGTTTTATAGGTCACAATATAACGGACAGGTGTACGTAACCGACGGATATGGGCAGACAAGGCTGGCCGGATCGTCGTCTTCAAGAGCACGAGGTGGGTGGGCGGTTACGTAATCGCGATGTGAATTTTTTTTGTTTAGCGCTTAAGGTGGAGACGAACCTTCCGGTGCCTCATATAACGATGTGTAGCGGCTCGACGTGCGGACATAACGCCCACTGCACTACGATCGGAAATAGGCCGGTCTGCTCGTGCCTGAAGGGGTATACGGGGGATGCGCTCTACAACTGCGTCAGGGCGGAGTGCCTGGACAGTAGTGAGTGCCGAGGTCACTTGGCTTGCAAGAACCAGAGGTGCGTGGATCCCTGCCAAGGAGTGTGCGGGTCGAATGCTCACTGCGAGACCAGGAACCACATTCCCACGTGCACATGTCCTCCAGGTTACACCGGTGACCCCTTCCAGCATTGCAGGCACTTCAATCCAGGTACGTGGACTTAACGCAATTGATTGGGTTTGACTGGGGCATTGCAGAGGAGCTTTGTCATCCCAGTCCCTGTGGAGCCAATACGAATTGCGAGGTTGTAAATAATATACCCACTTGCAAGTGCCAACCGGGATACCACGGCTCGCCGATAGCCGGCTGTCGGCACGAATGCGACAGCGACTCCGACTGCGGCCACCACCACGCCTGCATCGAATTCAGATGCCAAAACCCCTGCGCCCAGTGCGGGCAAAATGCGGAGTGCGACCTGGTGCAAAACCATGTGCCTCTCTGCAAGTGTCCAAGGGTAAGTCTAGAGAAGTGTGCTCCACCTGATTGGGACCGTTTTAGGGTTACTTCGGAAATCCGCTGTCTTCTTGCCAACCTGAGTGCACCCAACACAGCGACTGTCCCCAGTCGAAACCGGCCTGCTTCTACAACTCGTGCAAAAACCCGTGCGACGGCGTCTGCGGCGTCAACGCCAACTGCGAACTGCGCAACGGCATCACCCCGGTCTGCTCGTGCCCGAAGGAAATGACCGGCGATCCATTCACCATGTGCCGACCCTTCACCAAGGAAGACCTTTGCCAGCCGAACCCGTGCGGTGCCAATGCGAAGTGCCAACCCGGATACGACCGGTACAACAAGGAGCGCCCGGTTTGCACGTGCCATCCCGGATACATCGGCGATCCTATCACTGGGTGCATACGCGGGGAGTGCATCGATGACAATGAATGTCCCGACCACCAAGCGTGCTTTGAATACAAGTACATCAGGTCCACTTTACGATCTCTAAATTGATTACGACCTTTTTCAGGTGCCAAAACCCTTGCCGCGGACAGTGCGGCACCAACGCCGTGTGCAACGCGCGAAAGCACGTCGCCGTCTGTACGTGCCTCGACGGGCATAACGGCGATGCCTTGTCCCACTGCTACAGGGTCGAAGGCAGCGAGGTAAAGGTGTCTGGAGCGTACTTCTGCAGCACCTGTTGATCTTCCGTTATTATAACTGTCATTAACTGATTGATTCTATTAAAAAAGTGCTCCTAGTGTTACCTCCATCCACATTCGTCAATTGACCCGTGTTAATAATTCAGATAATAAGATAACAAATGGACCTCTTCTCCCGTGTGTCCATTGCACACGAAGATGGATCAAGCTTTGCCATCCTACGATTAATCAATGTTCTATTTATTTCTGTTAATAGATTTTTTGGTTAATCGATTCGCTAATTGACGATGTTTTTATAGGTTAAGTGATGTCAAATTAATGACAACCTCAAAATCAATTCCTCGATTACTCAGTTGTTATTGATTATTTAATTAAACTGCCAATTAATTGGATTTAATTACTCTATTATGGTCTCCCAGCATAGCATTGGCACAGAAAAATCGAAATTGGTAACGTAGAAATGTAATAAGTGTTGTAAAATTCCTCCGTTAGATGTTGTCTCCATTTTTGAAACTCAATCCCGTGCTAGTTCCCCACTTATTTCACCAAAAACCATTGCCGAGTCCTTTACCCGAGCTCACTAGTATTAATCCAGAACCGTATTCCCGCTCAGAATGACTTTTCCGTTTATTTTCCAATAACCGGATAGCTTTCCGATTAAGAGATTTTCTTAATTTCCCATCAGACCTGTTAATTTGTATTTAGTTTTGATTAATTAGCGCACCCTACTTGCCTTGCTAGCCGTAACGATAGCGGTGCATCCCATTCCGGCGACGTACACCCCGGCACCGTTTTCGCGGAGACAACCCATCCCGGCGACCATTACTATCCCGGCATTGGTCATTCCGGCGATTTGTACCCGGCGACGACCTATCCCGGCGACTATTACTTTCTCGAAAGTGCGCACCTATCGACGTCTGTCCAACCCCATCTTCCTTTTGTTCCTTTTTGGACATAAACAATGATGTACTTTAGAAGCGGTTGTCAAATTAGGTACCGAAAGTGGTTGTTATGGTTGAAATATGCAAGGAGGCTCAAATAAGCGTCTTGTTTACACAATAGCCAGATTGTATTATATTTAGAAAGGAAAAATCACATTCCATACAATAACAAATAAGAAAACTTAATTCCGGTGAATTGTTTCAATATAATAAACATAAATTTACTTCATATGTTTGCCTCGTCTTAAATGTTTTCCAACCCCCGCTACTTTGTACTGCACAGATCTTTTGGGTTCGTGCTTTAGGTCGATAAACCTGATTCGAACACGATCAACAAGTCCTGGCTCTCAGGATTGTTTGAATCGCTTGGGAGATTCCTTGTAAAGGACGTACAGCAGATAAATCCCAGCCGACTTTATTTGGAAACCAGCACGTCCGGAATTTGACTGAGACCGTAAAAGCGTCGACGGTGTTTACAGAATCGTACCCCTTCCACCAGAAGACGAGAATATGCAACACAAGTTGCCTACCAATTTACGTTCAGCACAAAAGAATCGATAATCCTTTCCATAAAGCCTCAGTGTCTTCATTTTACCTTACAATGTGTGTACGGGGAGGGGGAGGGGTTCCATACCCCCTAAACCGCCTGGTGTTACATTTGTTTCTTAAGAGAGAAGGAGATGATAATTTGTTCACAAGAAAATCATGGGGTCCGTTAACTTGCCCCCCCCCCCCACTGAGAGATTTCATAGTCGTATTATTTTGAAATGAATGCGCTCGTTATGCGCTCTTATGCGCCACCAATAATAACTCTTGCGCCATAATCGTTTTTTAGAAATCCGAAAAAACATTTGGAGGGGCCAAGTGAACGTACCCCCCCCCCCAGTACGTATCGGAAATAACTTTTGAAAACGCTAAGTTAGACCCCCCACTTTTTAAAAATTTTTTATGGCTTAACCGTAATGGCGTTTGCTTTAATTCAAGTGGCGCAGTTGAGCTCATACCTAGATGTATCAAGTGGCACAAATACCGGTAGCAAAATGCGTTATGGGGGATTCCGTTCACTTGCCCCCCCAAATATATTTAAGGATAACCAAAAAACAATAATGGCGCAAAGATATCTTTTTACGGCGCATTTCAGCGCATACCTGAGAGTACAATTTCGTATGAAAAGATGTTAAAAAAAAGTAACTTTTAAAAACGTTAAGTTGCCCCCCCCCCACTTTTTGAAAATTTGTCACGGCTTAACCGTAATGGCGCTAGCTTTAATTCAAGTGGCGCAATTGAGCGCATAACCAAATGCATCAGGTGACCTAGTTACAAGGGACAAATACGTACGGGGGGGGCTACGTTCACTTGCCCCCCCCCCCAAACGTTTTTTCGGATTTCTAAAAAACGATAATGGCGCAAGAGTGTGGTCGGGAAGTATGGAGGAATGGAATCACCCTCCCCCTCCCCCCAGAAAAGTAAAATTCGACGACAGCCAGCAAACAAAAACTGAACAATGTATGTAGTGGGGGAACTTCGTACCCCCCGGACCTCCTGGCGTTACCTACATTTACTTCTTAAGAGAAAGGAGTATGATATTTTTTTCCAAACAAATCATGAGACTTCTCAGATCTAACCGTTATGTGGAAAAAAATATGCCCGGGGGTTGTGTGGGGGGGGGGGGGAGTCCAACGAAGTAAAACTCGTGAACGCTCAGTAAAAAAAATCGATAATTCCGTCTTGTCTACTCGGATGAGCTGGTGCGCCGTCCAAACGTCTTCGCGAGCAGAAGAGTGGCATTCTTCCACTTGACTCTCTGCTACCTGTAGGTGGCGGCGTCGTCCTCCATCACCCTGGTTACTTCAGATATTGTCGATGAATCACCAGACGTGTCCGGATCTGTTGAACCTGGCGATGCATTTCGTGAATGATCCTCCGTGATTTTGACCTGGTGAAGTAAAAGTTTGCAGCGCCAGAGGGCTGGCACATGAAGGCAATATGCCGCATCCGAATACTCGATACTAGAACCTGGGTGCTTCAGATGTGCGAGGAGGGGGCACTGGCAGGTACGCTGTAAGGGCCCGGACGGATCGGCGTTATGCTTCACCTGCGGGAGACCGGGTCACGTAGCTGAAGACTGCCCAGATAAACGAAATTTACGTTTTAGTGATCGCCGACATTGCACCAGTGAGGATAATGGTAGAGGCCAGACCAAAAAATGGAGTAGGGTCGGGGAGCTGGAAGAATGAGAAGTGCACTGAGGTGGCACAAATGTCCAAATACTGCAAAAGACTTCGGAAGCCCCGAGAAAATCCGTTGGGAGAAGGTTAAAAAAGACAATTGGCACTTCCAAGAGCCCTCAAATACCCTTAGGGGCAAATATGCTTAATTCTGGTATCAAAGATTTAAATCATCTAATGATTCTTAAATGCTATTCAAGGCGTCTTAGTGCCATTAAAGACCAGTGATTGCTTATGGAGACCATTGAGAACTCATGGAGCGAAAACGTTTGGTTACTGTTAAAGGCTCTATAGTCTCAGTCTCTTTTGATGATTCTTGAAAACTCCCAATCTTTGGGCGAAGCCTCTAGAATGCTCTTGGGAGTTATTAAAGACCGAGGGGTAAACCGCGATGGGAAATCAGTGTACACGTTTGAGGAAATCTATGGGAAATCATAGGAATTCCGGAGGAACTCCTAGGAAAGCTAAGAATTCCAAGGAATTCCATGTGTATTCAGGAGGAATTCCAAGGAAATCACAGGAACTCCGAGGAAATCAAGGGAACTCTAAAGAAATCAAAGGAACTCGTGCTGCATTTTATTATTTAATTTGGTCTTAACTAATTTTTTTATTTGTTTATGGTATTTTTCTCATTTAATAATGAGTTTTTCTCATTGCAAATAGGTCTATTAAAATATAAAATAGTGTTTCGTCTAAGGTCGTGTCTTTATCCGTCCGTCCGTCCGTCCGTCCGTCCGCTAACTTTGCGACGCTACTAGTTCTTTATCTTAAGAGCTATTGTTCTACTTTTTTCGCTATTTGGTTCGTTATGGTGTCGAGTCTTGTACCAAGGAAGGAATTTTTTCTGTACCGCTTACAAAAAAAGTTATTGTAAAAAAAACAAAAAACCGTTTTTTACATGTTCCATAATTTTACCCTTTTGCCGTTTATTAACGATCCTAGAGATCGTTTATAATTTTGCATTGCTATCTGTCGCCTGCCGGTTGGTCTCTCCGTCTGTTCCTTTGTCTGTCTGTCCATCTATCTGTCCGTGTGAACGATAACTTTGTTTAGAAATGTTCGATCGCTTTTACATCTCCGTGAGTTATGAACTGAATTGCATGAAATTCAATATGGGCATAGCTTTAGCCATATAATACGCAATGCCAAAAGTTGAATCGAATCGATTCAAAATTCACAGTGCCCTTTTCGCATCTCGACCATTTATAAACCGAATTGCAAACTTTTTTACTTATAAAAGTATTTGAATGAAATTTGATACATAGGCACTTATAAAGGAAAATCAAACGCCAATTTCAAAATTTGGTTTTGCGCATGCGCAGTGCCAACTTTTTTATTTATGGAAGAATTTAAACGAAATTTGATACATAGGCACTTGGGATAAAGGAAAATCAAACGCCAATTTCAAAATTTGGTTTTGCGCATGCGCAGTGCCAACTTTTTTATTTATGGAAGAATTTAAACGAAATTTGATACATAAGCACTTCGAATAAAGGAAAATCAAACGCCAATTTCAAAATTTGGTTTTGCGCATGCGCAGTGCCAACTTTTTTATTTATGGAAGAATTTAAATGAAATGTGATACATAGGCACTTGGAATAAAGGAAAATCTAGCGCCAGTTTCAAAATTTTATTTTGCGCATGCGCAGTGCCAACTTTTTTATCTATGGAACTATTTAAGTGAAATTTGATACTTAGGCGCTTGGAACAAAGGAAAATCTAACATTAGTTTTAAAATTTAGGTTTGCGCATGCGCAGTTCCAACTTTCTTATTTAGAAAACATTGAAATGAAATTCTTCTCATAAACTGAAATTGAAGTAGCACGTCAACAATGGATTGCCCATGTGCAACGCTATCTTTCATATTTGTGGCCGGATTTTTACGATTTTAACAGAAGTTGCATCTTACAAATGGGAAATGAATGCAAGTGGAAATGCGCTTTATGTAAATCGTTTACGATTACTTTTTAACTTGACACTTGACACTTTTATATTTTTTTATGGTTTTACCTCGGATTTTACTTACCAGGAAATTGTTAAATCAACGGAATAACAATGAAATAATTAAAAAACTTTAAAAAATCAGAGGAACTCACAGGAACTCCAAAAGAAAATCGAGGGAGCTCCAAGGAAATCAGAGGTATTTCGTGGAAGTTGGAGGAACTCGGAGGAAATCAGGGAAACCCCGAAGAAATCAAATGAACTCTGAAGAACTCGAAGGAA